GAGAGAGAGAGCTGCAAACAATCACCTGGGACCCTCAGACGGACTTGGAGTTGATGGAAACAACCTGCACTGGTTTGGAGGCGGACCGCGGCGGCAAAGCGCCACTGTGTGCTTTTCTTTCCATGCTTGAAGTAAATTGGAAGCGAAGATTGAGTTCATCTAGCCTGAACTAGCGGCCCTCCGGAGGGAATATCTTATCCGGGAGAGCAGTCTCAGACGATGGGGTTTGAAATGAGCAGTGTCAGGAGGACTGCGCCCAGACTCCTAATCCTACCTGTCACTGAGAGAGCAGCTGCACGGGAGCTGCCACTGCCGGGAAAAGGGCTACAGGTGACGGTGCTGTGAATGTGACTCAGACGTGTCCAATAATATTCCTTCTGTGGTGTGGCTTCATTTATTATTTTTTCCCTTTTTTTTTGCACCCTTAGCTGTAGTAAGACCTCAGATTACAGGGATACTTTTCAGGTGTGATGGTGCCTACATGCGTGTTTTATAGGGCCAATCAATCCCATCACCAAATAATAAAAATGAAGAAAAATGCGTTTACTTGCATTGAATTGACTGATGCCGCCATCCCACCTGCTGATATTCTATAAAAGTACATTTTTGCATCGCATTTGGTCACAGACGTGGGTGCTGAAGAAACAACACTGTAGTCTGGACGATCCGCAGGGAAATCTGCGTGGACAGCAGACACGCTTTCTTTTTTGTTGCTTCGTGGATCATTTCTAAAGTAAAATGACATGTAGCTGAACTCTAATTTTCCTGGCAACACGGGTCCCTTCTCCTCCTCTCCTAAAGGAGCCCTGCTTGCCCGGGGACCCTCCGGAAGCCACTGCAGTGAGCTATTTATGGTCTCCAAGGGAGCGAGGCCCCGCCTCTCCAGAGACTTTCTCATATAGCATGTAAGACTCCCCTGCTCCTCTCCTTTCTCCTTCTTCCTTGTACACCTATTGAGGATGCTTTCCGCCTTCGGGGGGCCTCCTCTTCCTGCTCTCCTATTGGCTCCTGGTCAGCCTCTGCCGTGGTGACGTCAGGCCCCGCCGCCCCTGCAGCGCTGAATGGACCAAGCAGCCTGTCTGATCCACTCCAAAACAGCTCAACACGGCACGGCACAGCACGGACACCATCCCGGGAATAGGAAAATAACAGGAATAGAGGCTTGACGGGACAGCGACAGAGATCAGCCTCCAAATCGCACGAAGGCCCAACAACATCAGCATCATTGTTTGTTTTCTTCACGAGACAGGACGGGGGAGTGCGCCCACCGTTTTGCGGGTGTATGTGCGTGCGCTTGTCTCCCGGTTTGGATCACGATGATGCAAAGTGCGGCGGTCCTACCGACAGAGAGTCCTGTGAAGAGTTTACCGGAGATTCTCGGAGTGCCACTGCAGCGTAAGACATTTTTTTCTCCTGTTCTTCCTCTTCTTCTGTCCACGATCAGTCTGGAAACTGGTTGGCGAGCGCAACCGGTGCTGCGGGGATTTGACTGTAGGGAGAGGGGCTTAGTTCCAGCAACCCGAGCGAGATTGGGGGAGTCTTAGTTTGTCACGTACACCACTAATGTGCCATGCTTAGTCTTTATTTCACGGTGCAAAAGCGCCTCGTAGACGATTCTGCTTCACGGCCTCACAGCCACCCGCATGTCCAATTAATCTTCGCAGCCTCAGATAGCGAAGACGTATTCCGCGTTAGGCTGCGAGTAGAAGCGCAAACTGTGATATTTTTCACTCATCCTGGGTGAAAAATAATTTCTGGTGAAAGGCAACATTTATGATTCCCTAGTTTGGCCTCTAACTTCCCGCGTCAGGTTGCTGGGCTCACACGGAGCCTCCCAGCTGTTAATTTGTAAAAGAGTCTGCATGGTCAAGAGATCAGGCGCAGTTGTCATCACCCATCAGACAAACACACTGACTTTGACTGACACTCATCACTGGGTCGAATTAAATAGCTTGAAACACTTTTATTTATTACAATTTAAGCACTAATAAAAGTGAAATTATTATTATTATTATTATTGAGGATAAGGGCAGATATTTAGTAGTTAATTGTCGATGTATTAATGTATTTTCTACCTTCCAGCATCAAAGGCGAGAAATGCCTTACATCTGTTCTCCTGTTAATCTGTGCCAAACCTTTTCTTTCTTTCTTTTTTACAATCTGTTCGCGCAATCAAGGTCTAAGTGCAACTGGATACATTTCTGTTCTGACCTAATTATTTAATACGCCAGTTAGTAACAATGTACAGATGGACCGGGTCTAATAGGGTAACGTCAAAAATAATCCACAACAGAACGGGATAACGTCGAGCGAAATTACTGGACTGCTCTGTTTTCAAAATACTCACGATGCGCATTTAAAGACGCACATTGAAGGTTTGAAATCTGTTAACAAATGGCTAAAACTATATAACAAAACTGAGGGTAATCTTTCAGGTTTTCCACATTGCTCCCATCCAACTAAAAAACCGTAAACAACGGTGAAATATGACAAGAGTCATCTAAGACTTCCAGCCTGTTCAGTGAAGTATTTAAACCTCACCAACTGGGGGAAGCCTCTATATGGTGGGCTTATGCTCTTTAATTTTATAAATCGAGACAGATTAAAAGATTGGATAAAGATCCTGCCACTCAGCCCCCTGCAGAGCCAGCAGGCATCCTGGATTTAAACCTGGATTATTTCAGAAATAAAAGCAGAATATATCTGAGCATTTTATATCACACACACAGTCATCTGCTGACTCAGGGCAATTACACCCACACCTTAACCTGCAGGCTATTAGTCGTTGATATAGAGTGTTTACTTCACGTTTAATTAACACAAATCGCTTGACAACCAACGGCTGCCAGAGTGCACTTCTTCTTCTTCTTCTTCCTCCTCCTTTCGTTTCTTCTTCTAAACAACACTCCTGCTAAAAGAGTCTGAAAGTGTGTTTCACCCGCTGTGTGAAATGAGCAAAGCGATGAGACTGCACGTGGTGAAGAGTGGTGGCAACAGATAATAAGATACGAAGAAGACCTCCTGAATACACGAGGTTTACTCTCTCTCCCCCCCCCTCTCTCTCTCTCTCTCACACACACACACACACACATCCGTGCTCTCGAGCTGTGACGTAACACGTTCACCATGGTGGTAGAGATCCAGTAGCCAATGCGCAAGCTCCCAATGGACGACCGGCCAGTTGTTTCATCACGGTGGCAAACGTACGAAAAAAACAAATGAACATTGAAAGTA